ACTTCTGTGTGCTTGACAAGTCCCAAGTTCTCTCGAGTTGCAAGAGGTTTCCTTCTCAGAACCTCGGGGGGCAGTCTCAGATGCTGGGACAACTACATGCTCCTGGCTTTCCTTTGCCTCTTGCAGGGGCTGGAATGAGGCCAGCGGTGGGTGCTCAGCCTTCTCTTGTGGAACCAGATGGAGTGGAACCTGAGCAGGTACGAGGAAGGCTCCTGAAGGGGAGGGGCAGGAAGCAGCCCTCATGTCTCCATCCCCCGCCTGCCTCTGAGGGCTGGGGAGCATCGCTTTCCGCTTTTCCTCTGGCACGGCGGAAAAAGAGAGCCTGGCGCCCCTTTCTCCCATTGAACAACTTGATGCCTTTTGGGAAGCCCACAAGAAGTTCAGGCAGGCCAGTGCAGTTTCTTGCTGTTGATCCATCAGCAGCTGGTGGTCACTGCAAGCAGGTGTCAGTCCTGCAGTACCCTGCTCGTCCAACTCACTTAATGCTATTCCTGAGGAGGGACCCTTTCCTTTTCCCATGCAGGCTCTGGTGACCTTTGAGGAGGTCGCCGTGTGCTTCACGGAGGAGGAGTGGGCCCTGCTGGATGCCGACCAGAGAGCCCTGCACAGCCAGATCATGGAAGAGAACCGAGGAACTGTGGCCTCTCTCGGTAGGACTCCCTACTCTTCTGCTTTATGGGAAGGCCTGTTTCCAAAAGCCATTATGATAAGGAAGATCAGATTACCACTTTTCGTACATGTCATCTGTTATGTATTCTCTCAATGTTTAGAGGAATATTTTATTTATTTATTATTTATTTATTTAAAACATTGCTGTGCTGCCCCCATCGCAACAAAGCCTCGGGGCAGCTCACAAAGAAATTTTCACAGTATTTTTTTCAGTGGCTGAGAAAGGTGGGTTTCAAAAACTTATTTTAACAGCTCTTGCATACGTGAAAGCAGGCATTTCCGCCTGCTCCACTGGTACAGTCACGAGTCGTTGCAAGAAGCAAATGTGTCTATCAGCTTAAGAGCCCGGCCCCTAGTACAGCCACCAACATGGAGCCCGTGCTGCCTGCCAGGCCACCACCTCTGCACCAGTCCTGAATCACCCACTAGTTCCACCTGTCATCACTGGAATAAAGCTCACTAATAATATTTTTATGAGTTCTTTTTTCTGAATATTAATTAAAATGCTATCCTATTGACAGGATGGTATCTCTCCTTTAATACATCCAACTTACCACACACGTTTTAACTTGTGGAATTTCAGTATAATATTGGAGCAACTGTTTTTAGATTTGTCCTATAGATGATATTTTGCATCTATGATCATCCTTTCACGGTCCATCAAGTGTCTCTTTGTACCTTTTCCTGTTTGAGAGTCCTTTTTAAACCAGGCTTTAAACCAGTGGATAGTAGAGAAGCCAGTCTATATTTTTCCATTCATCTTTTAGTTCTTGCCAAAGCTTGGTTCATCCTTGTTGTTCTGCCATGTTTGCATATACTCATGCACGGATTTCGTGAAGGACCCAGGTGCGTGTTGTTAAGATTTCATGGAAATTTGCAGTAGCTGCCCTATGGACAAACAGCCTGATAAAAGTCTGTGATGAAGGATATGCTGAGAGAGCAAAAGTGGTCCAGAAACATGCAGTAAATTTAAATTCTGAGCTGGAAGCTTAAACAGGACTTCATTGGTCAAACTGTGAACGCATTGTATCATAAAAACCATTAGTTAATGGCAGTTCAACGCGTAGTAAGAACTGCATTCCACCAAGTATTTCCAGTTCCTCCCCTTAGTCTAATCCCAAATTGAGATCATTCAGTTCCCTTGCTAACTCAGTGTTTTACTGATTTCTGTTCTTCCTTTCAGAAATTGACAGGTGGGATGTGGAGAATATGAGAAGACCAAGTGGAATGTCAGAGAAAATTAGGAATAGCAAAGAGGTGGGAAGGGAAACTGAACTAAACCAGAATAGGAGGAACAATTCCTTTGCTTCTCAGAGCAATGGCAACCATGATAGCATATTCCAAGAAGAAATACGTAAAAGCCAGGAAAAAGATCAGTGCCATGAAAATAAGGAAACTATTCCTTCTACATCAAGTATCCCATTGAAGAAACGGTATACTTGCAAGGAGTGTGGAAAGAGCTTCAGTCAGAAGACCCACATCACTTGTCATCAAAGAACCCACACAGGAGAGAAACCGTATCACTGTCCTCAATGTGGAAAGAGCTTCAGTCAGAAGATCCATCTTACACGACATCAAAGAACCCACACTGGGGAGAAACCATTTCATTGCTTGCAGTGTGGAAAGAGCTTCAGGGACAAGATGAATCTGACTTGTCATCAAAGAACACACACAGGAGAGAAACCATATCACTGTTCGAAGTGTGGAAGGAGCTTCAGTCACAAGGTAACCCTTACTCATCACCGAAGAACTCACACAGGGGAGAAACCGTTCCATTGTTTGCATTGTGGAAAGACCTTCAGACACAAAAAGAGTCTCACATCTCATCAAAGAGCACACACTGGGGAGAAACCGTTTCATTGTTTGAAGTGTGGGAGGAGCTTTAGTCACAAGAAATCTCTTATGCACCATCAAAGAACTCATACAGGGGAGAAGCCCTTTCATTGTCTGGAGTGTGGAAAGTGCTTCAGTCAGAGTAGGTACCTTCGTTCCCATCAAAGATCTCACACAGGGGAGAAACCCTTTCGTTGTTTGGACTGTGGAAAAAGCTTCAGTCAGAAACATCGTCTCACTTATCATCAAAGGACTCATACAGGGGAGAAACCCTACCAGTGTTTGGAGTGCGGCAAGAGCTTCAGTCTGAATAAATACCTTACCTCTCATCAAAGAAATCACACAGGGGAGAAACCCTATCATTGTTTGGAATGTGGAAAGAGCTTCAGTGAGAAGGGAACTCTGACGCAGCATCAAAGAACTCACACCGGGGAGAAGCCGTTTCATTGTTTGCAGTGTGGAAAGAGCTTCAGTCAGAAGGCAACTCTCACTTCTCATGAAAGGACCCACACAGGAGAGAAACCTTTTCATTGTCTGGAGTGTGGAAAGAACTTCAGTCAGAAGAAATGCCTTACTTCTCATAAAAGAGTGCACATAGGAGAGAAACCATATCCTTGTTTTGAGTGTGGAAAGAGCTTCACAGAGATGAGTTCCCTTAGTTCTCATCAAATAATTCACTTAGAGGAGAAAATATAGACATAGTTGGAATGTGGAGAGTGCTTCATTCGTGAGGTCATTCACTTCTCAGCAAATATATAATCTCTAAATTTGCTTGGAATACACATAAATTATCTGATCTTACATCTGATCTCATAAGTCTCCCAAGGATATATCATAGAAAATGGAATGAGATTCATTTAGAATGAACTCATATTTCACATTAGAGAATGGAGAATTGTTACATAGGTGAATGCCAGCGAAGTCATCAATGTGCTGAAACTACAGCAGCGGAAAAGACAATAAACAGTTTTCTCAGACAAATAAATAGATATAATGGCCAAGAAGAATTTCTAGAATATGGTGCTAGGCAGGTTTTCTCAGTTAAGTCAATTTCTACTTTCTTTAATGAATGTTGTATTTATTTTTTGTAAAAGGGTTTAGAAAAAAATCACACATTCTAACAGTGGATGAATTCACAGAACCAGGATGATGCTTCATAAAAGGAGAAGAGTAGGGAAAAGCGCTCCATCGTTTCAGGCTACAACATTTTATTGTTTATTAAATGACTCCTTTTAATCTAATATCCTTCACTGTGGAGATTTTCTTAATGAAAACTAGAATTGTGTGAGATTCAAACCAGAGTGTTAAAAATTGGCATGGGAACATTCAAGCGTGCTTACCACTGGCACATTTCTCTTTTTTTAGTCTAGTTTTTGAAAGGTAGATCATAGCTTTCTCTCAAACTGTGGTGAAAAGTACAGATGCACTGTAGTTTGTCTGACTGAGGAAGTTGCCTTTTAGTGGTTGGTAAGATTCTAAGTAGCAGGTCAAAAGCTCTCAAGTTTATCCTCCCCTATCAAGGTCTGTTGCCATGTGGCAAAAAATAAGTAAGGCATTCCTGCCCCATTAACCCCCATGTCAGCAGAGTCGCTGCCAGAGTTCCTGGCACCATCCAGACGATATCATCTGCTCATTTTAGGAGGACGCTGCATTGCAGTTGTATCTGTTAGGTTGGATGTACAATGCCTATGCCTTACAGACAATGCTGTGTATTACTACAGGACAGTATGCAATATTGCTGGTGTAAAATTACTCTGGGGCATTATGGGAAATGAACTCATAGCCAACTGCCAACCAAGGCCTTTACTCCAAGTCTCAAGTCTCTTAAGCCTCAAGAGCCAACTTTAACAGAAAAAAGGAGGCATTGGTTGGCAGGGGAGAGTTGTAAACCCCCTCGCCAAAAAGAAGAGCCGAATCCTGGCCTGGCCTTCCCTCTATTGCCCTGCCTCCGCAGTGGTCATGCCTGCCTTCCAGCCCATCACAGATGACTTCCACTGAGGTTACCCCAGGAAATCCTGCCGAAAGCCAAATGCAGGCGGTAAACCCTGGAGCGACTTGGAGGTAAAACAGCCGAAATCTTGAGCCATTCATTTGTTGCTGCTGTCAAGGTTGAGTCACTGACACAACTTGAGTTGGGCTTGGGGACTCGAGTGGAGCAACTTACTCCCAACAGCGGCTGCTACCGTGGCCAGATAAGTTAACCAGGGTCCATAATTAGAGGAGGGGGCCCATCTGAGTGCACTTTGCCCCCCCCTCACCTCCAGGAGCTGGCTGTGCAGATGGCTGTTTTACCGCAGATGGATACTTGGCTTCGAAGAAGCAGGGGGTTGGACCCGAGGGCCTTCTAGGCCTCTTCCAGCTGTATGATTCTATGAGACTGAGCACAGTGTGGAGGAAGAAAACAGTTGTTGGAAAGCTTGTGGATAGTGATCAACTAGATCAGCTGGCCAGCAGACTCCCATACCTTCTGCAGTGATTGCCATCAGGTCAGTCCTCCTCGCTGAAGTTCTTCCACTGCCTCCAGCAGCACATCTCCCCATATCTACCAGGTGCTGTTAAATACTGCAGAATACTGTAACACCAACATGGTCAACTCAGAGGATTCCTCTTGTTCAGGCACTTCATAGGACCAGGACACAAGAGGCCTTTGTTCCTGGCTCCAAGCACTCATTCCTCCCCACCTTGCTTGGGCTTAAAACACATAGGCAGATGTGGTTGCATCTGGGGCAATCTGAGCTGTTAGAAAGCATGGTTGGTGACATCACACATCATCCTTGCTTGGCATGTGACATGTCTGTGAAGAAAGCAGCCTTCTCTTCCAATATGGGTAGCTGCAACCAATGCCTGTTGGTTGATTAAAATTCCATTAGTTGTGACTAGAGTTGACGCTATCTTACATTGTTTCAAGCTCCAGAAAGCCAAGAAATGGGAAGCGAAGGCCCATGCCATAACAGTCATGCCCGGTACCCTGTCCCTTGATAAGCAGAGCCACAAAATGTGCTTTTGTAGAACTTACCTTCTGTGGACCCATATTTTTCTTGGTCTTTCATGCCTACATCCATGAGAACATCAGGAGAGTCCTGCGGGATCAGTCCAAGGGGCCATCCTTCCACTTGCATAGTGGACAAGGAACTGCCCATGGTTAACCCACAAGGAGAACATGCATAGCAACACTCTTCCACCCATGTGTGGAGCCCAGCAGCCTCTGATACTGGAGGACTATCAGGACTAGGGGTCCTTGATTGTCTTCTTCACACATTCCTCCAGTCCACTCTTAAAGCTGTCCCAAGTGGTGGTGATCCAGGTGGAAGGGATGGAGTTTCTAGAGCCAGCAAAATGGCCCAGCTGGTTTTGTATTGCTTTACGAAGCATTTGAACCAATAGTGCATTGCTAGAGGAATTCTGTGCATCGACCTGAGAATGCTCACTGCTTACAATTGCTGGCAGGATGGAACAAACCATCGGAGGAGGCCTTCTTCTAGCAACCTTCACCATCCCTGATTTTCATGACCTTCTGAGAAGACTTAATTGTGTGCGAGTTCAGCTTTTCTTCTGGACTTAGAGCTGCATCAGATTTCCACCAGCAGCCACACAACAAAACACTCGGGGTTGCCTTGGAACTTGAGGTGCTTGGATGGGACAGAATGTGCTTTGTTGTTGTTGTTAGTTGCGAAGTCGTGTCCGACCCATGGACAACGCTCCTCCAGGCCTTCCTGTCCTCCACCATCCCCCGGAGTCCACCCAAGCTCACGCCGACTGCTTCAGTGACTCCATCCAGCCACCTCACCCTCTGCCCTCCCCTTCTTTTAGAATGTGCTAGATGTGTTAAAGAACAATATCCATTATCTACCACACTTGGGTGGTCACCAGGACACTTGGTGCTGGACCTTGTTGTGGTTGCTGTTGAGCTCAAATTCCAGGACACAACAATGCAGGTGGCAGTTGGTGACAAACGTTGGACCCTTTATTCCGCAACTTGACACAGCTAAGCATCTATGAGATTCCATATCCGTGATCGAACACATCAAAGGATACCCCATAGCACTGAAGCCTGCAGAGCCTGGCCTGTTCCGTTGAGAGCGAGGGTTTTCTGGAACTCCTCTGTGTGAATCTTACTGGGATATGTAACATTTGGGGGGAAACCCGGTGCCAGGGTGTAGCATTGTGTGAATAGCTGGTGACGGACTTTATAGGGTCAAAACTGGGCAGCATCAATTGGAGTGGTCACAATGGAACAAGGTCCTGAACAATAACAGCCGTGAACAAATGTTATTGACCCAAGGAGGAGAGCTTGAAGCATAAACATTGAGCTTCCCAGGGTAAAAAAAAAAACCAATTATTTTGAGACAGTTGCATCATTCCATATTGATGTACCCATTTGATTTGTTGTTGTTCACTAGCTTTTGTACTAGAAATCCAGATTTGAGGTAATAGATTGGTAGAACAGATTTAGTAATGTTGAAAATAATCTTGTATTAAATGGAAACAAATTCTGAACACAAGTAAAACTGAAGATGTATCATTGTGTTGATTTACAGCATCTGTCTAGATAGGTTTGGGCGTGGAAAGCAATAAAAAGATGAAATAAAATGAATAAAAATGCAATGTATTCATCTCAGGATAACAAAACCGTGGATCAGCAGCAAGGCTTCCTGAAAAAGATGCTTTCAGGAGGCAGTGGAAACAGCACAGTGTTGGAGCCGGCCGGCCCCCAGAGGCAAGGGGTCCGCAGCCACGGGGACACTACACTAAGGCTTTTCTCCTGGTGGACGTCATTCAGGCCCATGTGGAACCACCAGGATGTCTTCTGATGACCTCAGTGACTGGGCAGGTCAGTAAGGGAGAAGGCGCTCCCACAGATACCTGCTCCCAGGTTGTTTAGGGGTTTGTATGCCAGCGTCAGAACCTTAAACTTGGCCCGGTCACACACAGGCAGCCAGTGCAGTTCCTTCAGCAGAGGAGAAGCATACTGAGATTGCCATGTTGTGCACTAGCCACAGTTGACCGACTGCCTCCACAGCCAGAGGAGAGCAGGTCAGACCATTCCGGTTCCTGCTGCTTAGCTGCCAAAGTCACTCTTGGGAAGTGCACCCTTTAGTGCAGGGGCCAGAGAGGAAACAAGCAGGTTGGAATCTCGGCCAGCATTTCTGACTGCTCTCCTTTTGAAAACAAGCTTTAAAAAAGGGTAGAGGAAGCACCCCTACCAGGGATGGTTCATGTTTACAAAGCTTGCCTGCAGACAAAAGTAAATGAAGAGGCTGAGATTTAAAGTCTGTTGTTCATCTCAAGGAGCTTTGTGATTTCTTCTTTACTGGAAAACTTGTTTTCATATTATTATTCATTACTGCCTGTAGCCAAAGCTCTCAACTTTAAGTCACCCATCCAGTTTCCAACCAGGTTTAACCCTGCTTAGCTTCCAAGATTAGAAAGCATCAGCCACTGCAAGCTATCTGGACACTAGACATACATATTTTAATGTATATACACATATTCATATACAACTTGCCTTGACCCCAGATGAGTGGGACCTTGCCTTGGTTATTATTCCTGAACTCCTATCAACTTAGAAACACGTGCTTTTGAACCTCTTATCTTTGACTACATAAGTTGAAATTGGACATTTGACTTAGCCTTTTCTGCTTAGCTTTCCTTTATGGTTGTGGCGAGTACTGATCCTGTGTTACATCCCAAGAGATGTGTAGGTAGTTCAAAAACATCTATGTCATTAAATATTAAAGTTGCCATTACAAAATGTATGCAAATCATTACCTCCCAACAGGGAAGCTGCCACTGGGCATTGGCAAAACATATGAGAAGCATTAGGAGTATCACACCTCCAACAATTGGCTGATTTAATTTACCCTTTATCATAGAAATGTGTACCATGCCAAAAAGATCAATTTCTGCTGAATTGAGCATAGCCTAAGATCCAAGATATGCACTGTTCCAGTTCATTACACCATTCATGGTTGGTGACTCTTGCATCACTTATCCATGGACAACATATTTATGCACCTGAATTTGAGACTGATTTAATTGTTCCAGCTTCAATCAATAACTTCCAACAACACAGACAGCTCTTGAAGCTGTGGAAGCCAAACCGACATTCTAACAAATCTTTTATTTGCATATATTGTGATGCAGGAAAGGAATATTTTCTTGCTAAAATCTTTACATCTGCATTTCCCCATAAAGTTCATTGGGCACATGAAAACCAACAGCAATTAACATGGAAATATACCCAACTGCAGCAACTGGAGGAAGTACTTTTTTAGTGTAATAAGAGGCTGATGAAATTCATTTGGGAAAAAGATCCAAACATGAAAATTCTAAAACTGACTGGGGAAAAGAATTTGAGTGGAAAAGATCAAAATCAAGTGCAAGTCAACTGATAGGCCTGATTATAATGAAAGATCAAGGAAGCCAAATTCACCCTGCTTGACTGAAAGTTGCATCCTTTTCAAGGATATTAATGGCAGAAGAAAACCCAATAAAACTTACAACACAAAACATTATGCTTATGGAAATACTGGTATAAATAAAAATTCCAAGAGAACTATTATTACCAAGTTTCTGTATCAATTAAAAATATCTCCTCCATGTGGCCAGCATAAAGGGCCAGTGGGACCCAGATAATATAAAATCATATTTTACCTAGATTTTACAAAAATAGCATGTGATATTACATACAATCTAGCAAGAAACACAGAAAACAAAAATACAGATAATAAAACTGTTGGTGTCCCTGCTAGCCAGGTGACTTACAGACCAGCTAAACCAAGTGCCAATGAGGTTCAGACAGGTGGAGACTCGTTCAGTTACTTTATTCAGCTGAGCAAAGCCACCGGGTGTCTGCCCCCGACATGCAGGCAGGCAGCAACACCCACACATTCCTCCTTTTCCCCTCTTTTCCCCTCAATCTCGCCCCTGTTGTTCCCTCACCCAGTCCCCTCTCAGGGTCTGCCTGACCCTTTACCCAATCCCCTTGTGGGGTCTGCATGTCCACTGCATGCCTGGCCTCCTGAAGGCCCCTTATCTTGGCCCAATCCCCCCACAGGGGGAGCGTGATCACTGTGCCAGGCCTTGCGTGGGGGTCTCACTCACTGCCTCTTGATCAACATTCCTTTGCCTTCCCTTTCTCCTCTCCAAAGCAAGCAGTTATACAGAAAGCAAATGGCATTTGTTAGGCGAAAAGCAAATAATATTAGTTAAGCTAACCAGGCTCCTTCAAAAACAATCTTAATATTTTGAAATCTGAAAATGAGGAAAAAGTAAAGAGCAGCAGACAACATAAGTCACTACCTTACTGTCTTTTGAATGAAAGCAGGAGGTAAATTTTACATAACAACTTTACATGGATCAGATTTTATCTGTATTATGTTTTATTTTACTTACGTAAGCCGTTCCGAGGCTATGCGATGGGATGGCATACAAATGCTCTAAATAAATAAATAAATAAATAAATAAACAAATAAACAAACAAACAAACAAACAAACAAACTTAAGCTTTGACATTCACAGAGTCACAGCTGGCCGGATGAGAATCCTCTGCTTCCCCCAGCCCTCTCGGTGGGAAAGATCCTGCACCTTCCTCAGGCACACTCAGAATAGTCAAAGCACTGAATTAGTACTCAACTCAATCAGGTTCAGGAATCCTTATTAGGGTATGACAAGGGATGAAGGGGGAAAAAATAGGGAAGGAAAAGGGATGGTAGAATACAGCAGCAAACCCCATAAATCCATTCCTAGAAACTTGTTGCACCACCTTGATTGAAATTAACAAAGCCAGCCCTAAGCTACCCTAGGTCAGGAATTTATTTATGTTATATTTTATGCTGCAAACTGTCCTGAGGCTTTTGTGACAGGACAGCATATACACATTTTAAATAAATAAATAAATATCACAATATGACCTTGTGAAAGCTATCAAAACATTGACAGGGAGTTGGCTGGACTGAACCTTACAACAGACAGACAAAAGATCCCATTTCTTTATCCCCCCCCCCCCCCCGCAACTGGTCAGCTGACCAATGGGCTTAAGCATCATATGTCATACTAATGCCAGCTACCTGCAACGAGTTACTCAGCTCAACCTCCTGCCATGTCCTTGGAGTAGTTAGTGCTTGTTAGCCCAAGGACATCAATTACTCCCTTCAGCCTTGAGGTTTCTAACCTTTTACTCCTCACTGTAAGTGTAGCCACCTGAACAAATCCACTTTGCCACTCACACCTGAATAGGCCCAGTGTAACATCAGGTACAAGGAGACCTTCCGTCCAAAGTGACAGGTGTTAGTCAAGCTCCATTGCTTTCATGAGTCCACCAAAATGCCCCACCTTTGACAGCCCTGCTTAGTTCTTCTAAACACAAGGCTCCATCTTGTATGTGGTTCCCCTCCTCCCCCTCCCCAATTCTTCTGCCTTTGACTTTCCCTCTGATTGTCTTCTTCAGGGAGGCTTCCCTTCTCATGATGTTCTCAAAAATAAATAAATAAAGTACAAGAGCCTCAGTTTTGTCATTTTTGCTTCTAGGGAAAACTCTGGCTTGACAGGATAGTCAAGCTCAGTTCCAGGGTACCTACAAGACCATCTTTTCCCCATATACAGCTACCTACCCATTGAGATCTGGGCAGGAGGTCCTTCTAAAAGAGCCATCCCTCAAGGAGGTAAGAGGGACGGCAAATAGAAGGACCTTCTCAGTGTCTGCTTCTCATTTATGGAAAAGGCTCCCCAGAGAAATTTGTCTGACTCCAACACTGCTGTCTTTTTGGTGTTCGGCAAAAACGTCGATCGCTTAGTTAAAATGCTTGGAGAAGAGCATTTTGATTGACTTTTACACTGTTCTTAATATGTGGTGTGTATATGTGCATATAGGGTTCTCCCCTCACTTATTGCAATTTAAAATGAACATTGCTTTAGTTACGGTTGTATATGATTGGTTTTTATTGTTTTAATATTTGTAATCTTGTTTATCAATTGTAAGTCTCCCAGAGATTCCCGTTGGAAGAGTTTGATGGCATACAAATGTAAAAAAGACTTGATAAGTAAAAAATAAGTTTGAGGGTATTTGGAGACTGTTTATTGAATATGTTTGAATAAAGGGAAAGGGTTGTATACCATTGCAAGATTTGATGCAGTTTAGGAAGGGGAGTGGGAGCGTGGCTACCTGGCTGAATAGGGTGCTGCGCCTGCGCAGTGCCTATAGCCGGGAGATTGATAGCGAACGGTTTTGGCGGGAAAACTCCGCTCCCCGCGCCCCAGTAGTATATATTGAGCGGAGTGTCCGCCATTTTCCAGTCTTTGATAGACCGGATGCTCGCTCTCTAGAGAAAAAAATCTAAACTAAGGAAAAACCGTTGTAGGTGCCGAGAATAAAGAACAGTATGGTACCGATCACAAGTTCCCCCCATCGACACCGAGTGGAGCCGGCGGGTGGGTTGTGTGACTGCACAGGTGGCCACGCGAAGAACATCCGTTACAGGTAAGCAACCCGCTTTTCTTCGTCGTGGCC